CGCGTGAATAGCTAGGGGTAGAATGAGATCTGGGCTCTGGCCGAGACATAGTGATGGCAAGAGAGCTCCGGCGTGCTGTAACGCAGACACTGTGTTTACAGTGTGTCAGGCGGGGGGCGCGCCGATCGCGGCGGGCAGCCTGGTCGCGCTCAAAACCCTTATAGCAGTTTGCTGAGGGAGAGAGAGCGGGGCGAGCCCCGTGGGGCTTAACATGTCTGTGAGTGAATGTGGGCGCAGGACAGCGGGCACATTTACTGCACTGAAAAACACCGTCGGCCTGAGCTGACTGAATGCGTGTTGGTTTCGTTTTCACAGAACCCGTGGGACATGTGGTGTGTAGTGTTTGTGGGCACTGAGACGTAAGCACATTCACTACATTTAGTGCACAATCGACATGAGGCGATTTTGTTTGTGCGAGCCCTGCATTTTTGCGGGCTGTGTTTGTGTGTAGAAATGAGCCCTGGGTTGTGGGCATTTTCAATACACTCATAACACCATCGGCTGTGGCCGGAATACCAGAAAATACACCATTTATGTGATTTATCTGGGAACAGCATTTGTGTGCAGGCAAGCGGGCATGGTACTGGCTTGCTTACTGCAAAATACACTGGAACAGTCACATTTTCTGGAACTGAACGAGCGAAAATTTCAGTGGAAGTCTGGCCACGGCGAGACTGAAACACCGTCGATTTCCTAGGAGGCTAGGAAGACTTGTGTTGGTTTCGTTTTACAGAAACCGTGGTAGTGTTTGTGGGCACTGGGTTGTGGGCACATTCACTACATTTAATGCACAATTGACATGCGTCGATTTCATTTGTGCGAGCCCTGTACCGTGGCGGGCTGTGTTTGTGTGTAGAAATGAACACTGGGCTGTGAGCATTTTATTACACTTATAACACCATCGGCTGTGGCTGGAAAACCAGAAATACAATGATCACATGATTTTTCTAGGTCGCCGTGGAAACGGCCTTTATGTGCAGGCAAGCGGGCCGTGGTACCAGCTTGTTTACTGCAAAATACACTGGAACAGTCGCATTTTCTGGAACTGAACGAGCGAAAAGTTTTTGGTGGAAGTCTGGCCGCGGCGAGACTAAATTTTTATCTGCTGCGAGAGCCGGGATCGAACCCGGGTCTCTCGCGTGAAAGCTTAGGGTTCCGCCACTGGGCCACAGGGAGAATTACACTAGCACAAGCAGATAAGAGAGTGTCATCACAGTTTTGTGTGTGTCGGCGTTTGTATGCAGGTGTGCGTGTCATACAACAGGCTCATTGCTGCAATAATGACATTTTCAGCCGCTCAAACTAGGAGCTGAGAAATGTTTAAGAAACGGAGATTAGTCCGGCCTCGGCGGGGACAAAAAAAAACACACTCTTTTCTCATTTGCCGGTGACGCACGCCCATTGGGGGGCGGGGTATATTTCTTATAACGTAAAGAAAGCTAGCCGCGGTTTTAGGGCTCGCGGTCTTTATGCTGGCCCGTTTCCTTGACGACTCGCGGACAGAAGGCGGAGGTCCACAGAGCTCGCCTGTTGCGCGGCGGTTGCGCGGGCGCCTCCCAATCGAGGCCGATGCTTTCCACGGCCTGAGAGAGCAGACGCATCAGCTCAGTTTTAATGCCGGCTCTCTTACCAGTGGGCTGGCGGGAAACGCTAGCGGAGGGGAGATCTACGGAGCTCGCCCAATCCTCACTATCGTATGCCAGAAGAGAACACGCCTCGGTGGGTTCGTCAAACTCGTGGATGGACGCGGCGGCAGGCGGCGGCCGTTGTCCGTCAGTGAGCGACTCGAGCGAAGCCGGCGAAGCTGGCGGGCGAACCGGTGAGCTTTGACGGGCTGGAGAAAGCTCGGGAGCGCGCTGGGCGCGGCGCTTCTTGCGGCGCGGCACCACGGCGGGCTGCGGTGAAGGCTCGGAGAATGATGCCAGGCGAGTCCTCAGAGTCACCATGGGCAAAAGCTCGCAATGAGGGCATCCGCCGTCAGCGAGCGCGAGAGCCGCGTGATCCTCACCCAGGCAGGAAACACAGATGACGTGCCGGTCTCCATCGCTGAGCGGGGCGCGGCACGAGCCACAGGAAGGCATCTTTAAAAAGACGCAGCTCTTTTTGTGAGAGAAGTGTGAGTCGCGTCAAGTAAGCGAGCAAACACTCTCAACAGAGTAAATACACACAGAGTATGAAAGGATATAGAACGCCGGAAAGCGCAGCAGGTACGGCAGTTGAAGGCGGCGAGGCCAGCGACTCCAGAGCTCGTCCAGCTGAAAGGCTTGCTTCGACGGCGCGGCTTCTCACTCCGGATCCAGCGATGCGTGTGCTTCGCTGAAGAGGTAAAAATCAGCTTGTATCAGCCTAACGAGCATATTTATAGGGTGAGACCACGCCCCTTCTGGCGGGACGTGACGATATGGGCGCGAATTGCATCCCATTGGTCATTACGTCACGCAGAGTCTCTCTCGATAGGCTGCTGCATTTGCTGCAGAGCAACCAATAGGCGCGCGAGCTGTTTCGCCTATGTCTGCTTGCTGCTGCAAAGCGTTTTACATTAATAAAAAATGAAGGATAATTTTTGGCTTCAATATCTCGCGGAAAAGAGTTTTTCCCCTAGCGTAAGCTATTACGCAGTACGAGAGATACTCTCGTAAGAGAACCTAAAGTAATATTGCCAGACTATATATCATTTGAAAGCTTAAAATCTCTAGTTTTCATATTTGGTGGCTGTTATCTAAAATATATTACAGAGGAGCAGAAATTTATCAATTTGCAACAAGAATATTTCATATTCATTAGGAGTATTTAGGCCTTTATTTTGAAATAACAATAAACATGAAAAATCATGAAAGATTGGTAGAAACCTCAGTTTGTTTTCATGCCATGAGTTCAAAAGATAACACCAATTCCATTTTATGAGAAAAAAAGGTCTGAAAATGTTTTAAATATAAAGAAAAAATGTATGGATTCTCGATTTGTAATGCGGCTGCGAGCTATAACGCTATAACGTAGTCTTTATGCATTTATTAGAGGTTTAATTCAAATCAAATACTGCCAAACCATCCATACTACTTCTGAATAGGATGTCTACTTCATAAATTGTATGAAAATTATGGAAATACATGGTTCAGATCACTCAAAACATATGAAAATGGAGGCGCCCTTATATGGGCAGTAATGGAGTCTGGTGTTCACCTAGTGAAAAAGTTGGGTACTGCGCCCGAATAAAATCTTACTGAAAGCTCATTTTTTGAGATATCAACCTAAAATTTGGAATACAACTTGTTCAGATATTTGACTTTAATTTTCTTGCAGTTTTAGAGTAAAATATATTTTGTAATATATATATTTTATATAAAATATTAATCATTATATTTTTACATTACACAATTTCATAAACTCAAACTTATATAACTTTTTTTCTGTTTCATTTTTTACAATTTCTAGACTTCTACAATGTCTTCTACAATGAAAATGTCTTCTTTAAAACAAGACCAGCCATAGGTCTATATTCCAAAGCATTCCTGAATTACAACCATTTAAGTTTGGATAGTGATTTTTATGTCTATGCAAAAAAAAAGGGGGGTGCCAGTTAACAGGATATCCACATTTCTAAGATCAGATGTTTTTCTTATGCTTAATTAAAATGCTTGTTTTCTCTATTTTGTTGTGTGTTTATTTTGTAATAGAAGGAAACTGTGCAGCACATTTACATATTTAGTGTTATTCACTGGTCTCATTCAGGGTATAATCTCTGATTTTATTGGTGATGTCTTATGAATATCACCTCATTGATGATAGTAGCCCTAACTGCACATCTTGATATTAATAGAGGAGTGATCCAGCTTTTCAGATTTCATCATACATATCTTAATTTGTGTTCCGAAGATGAACGAAAGTCTTACGGGGTTGGAACAACATGAGGGAGAGTAATTACTGACAGAATTTTAATTTTTGGGTGAACTAACCCTTTAATTAAATATACCAGTTCATTGTTGACACTTTTAGCATATCTTTGGTGAGGTGGTAGTTTGGGAGGAGCAGAAAGTGTCATGATGAGTAGTGAGTCAAGAATGAGAGCACAAAAACAAATACATTCCAGCTTGAAATTGGAGTACCTGCACCAACGTATTTCAGGCTTGTCAGAAATGCAAATACGTATTGAAATGAGACTATTTTAAGAATGAGTGATGTAAAATAAAAAGGTGTGTCAGGAGAACCAGATCTGTCAGAGACCAACAAAACACTCCACCCAAAATAAAAAATACATTCAGTCAAGGTAAAGATTCAGTGGACTCAAAACAAGACCATGACGAAGCACATGTTTTAGCAGTTTTTTGTTTGTCAAACTTTGACAAGATTCACCTCACATTTGGATGGAAACCCAGCTAATGTTAGAATTACAGGAACTTGTAGCTACCGGTACACATCAAACTCTGACCGTTTATTGAGCATGACAGTGACGTGTTGAGCCGAGCGGTCATTAAAACATTACATAAAACATAAACCTCCGTCGCAGAGTCACACCGATTAGTTTAGAGAGAGATAAACCAAAAAAAAACAGCTCATAGTTATGCCTGCAAATTAAAAATAAAAGTAAGGAAATGAACTACATTACCGTAGGCTTAAGTCTCAGTGAACACGAACAATGATTGACTGGCAGAAAGCTATTTTTTTTACTAATTACTAATATATTAACCACTGAAAATGGCAAAATACTGTGTGACGGTAATTAAAACACGTTTTTCTTTAAAAATGAAGCAATGCTCGAACACAAATATTTATATTTTCTATATTTGGAAAACCTATATTTGGCATACATTTTAGTCTGAGATCACATAGCTTAAAATTCTGTTATGTTTAATGGGTAATACAATCTTTAGGTCCAGCCTAACGAAACATTATGAAAAGTACAATTTACATAGTCTTTCACTATTATTATTTTTTAGAATCTGTAATATTGAAGACAATCAAAATGGGATTTTCCCGCTTTGTTCATATTGCTGATATTTGTTCCAGATGTTCATCATCCTTCAAAGCCGCTCCGAGCAACCGCTGCGGCCGCTAGCGCTGCCATGACGAAAATAAACACTCCTTTCAACCAACTGGATGAGCTTTCTTTGACTTTCTCTGTGTCAGTCTTTCCAAGCATCTCACTGGTGAAGTGCTTCCCTCCATTTCTCTCCACCATCTTCTCAATCTTCTCCAGCAGTTCAGTGACCTGAGAGCGGTTCTTCATGTCTTCATTGTTAAATGAGTGAAATCTCCCACCAAAACTCTTAGTAAATGCCTGTAGATCTGGAGTGTCTCTGATATACTCGTCTAATGATCCACCCTTCAGATGATCAGCGTGAGTGAACAGAATGATGGTGTGACGAATAGCTTCTTCTCCAATATTTTCCTGAATCCATTTCACTGTGTTTTTCTCCTCATCTGTGAATCTGTCGTCCAGTCTGATGACCAGCAGAAACACATGAGGACCAGGAGCAGACATCTCCACACACGTCTCAATCTCAGCCTTCAGCCGGTCCCTCGTCATCGACGGATCCAACAGTCCTGGAGTGTCGATCACTGAGATGTTTCTTCCACACACACCGGCTTCTTGTTTCTCACAGGTTTGAGGACTTGATGGGAAACTCTTATTCGTTTTGAAGGCATCTCTGCCAATGATGGTGTTTGCTGTCGAACTCTTCCCCGATCCACATTTACCCAGAAGAACGATCCTCAGATCAGACGCTGTGAAGAAAAACAATATGCATATTAGTTCAGTAACTGTCATAGTTTTGAGGCTTAAAACACTGTGAAAAATGCCTTAAAATATTGCAAACAATGAATAAATGCAAATGTTCTGTCAATGTTTCTGTAATATCAAATGCATCTGTAAATTTATATCCAATACAATGTCATATAATCATCAGTGAATGTTGCATAAAAACATTTATTATACATTGAGTAATATGCATATTAGTTTACTGACTTAAAAACATATCTTAATAAGAAGAGGTGTACATTTTCATATTACAACTGTTTTGTGTTATAAAAATAAATAAATGCAAAATGTTGTTTCTCAAATGTATGCATTCATCTGCAATTTTACGTCCAAGGTAAAGTCCATAAACATTGTTAAATATTAAATGACTTAATTATGTAAATATATAAAAATAATTTAAATCTAATACAAAAGGGAAAATATTATATTTTCACATCAGAATATACAATTATAAACAGCTAAATATTTACCTATTGAATGATTTTCTGCTGTGTGTGTCTTCTCCTCGCCGATCGGACACGTTTCATGTTTTCTGTCGCTTTGATTTCCATCCAAACATCCCTTTTCTCTCTCATTTGTTGCTCTTTGTTCTTTGTGTTCTGTCTGTTCTTCTCTGATCTGATGCTCTGCTCTGTTCTCCTCTTTCTCCTGGCTCGTTATTTGCTCCTCTAGACTCTTCTCTGTTCTGTCTTGTTTCGTCCTCGTCTCGTCTTCACTGTTCTTCGGGGAGATCTCTTTAACATAATGTTCTCGTCGGTTCTTCCTCACCACTTCATCAATGTTCTCCAACAGACTGGCGATCTGCTTCTTATCTCTCTTGTTTTTGTGGATGATCACGTCACATTTCTCTTCACAGAAGCTCAGAAGTTCTCGGGTTTTTCTGTGCAGTCTAAACTCAATCCATTCCCGTTTGGACATCGCCTCTCTTCCCGTGAACAACACCATGGTGAACCTGAAAGCTTCTTTTCCGAAGTGCTCGTGAATCTTTCTCACGATCTTATCCACGTTTTCTGTGAATCTGTCGATTCTGATGACGAGCAGGAAGACGTGAGGACCAGGATCAGAGAGATCCAGACTCTTCATCATCTGCTTCTTCATCTCTTCATCAGTCAGTTGAGTGTTGAAGAATCCTGGAGTGTCGATGATGGAGATGTTTCTGTCTTCTACTCTTCCTCTCTGTATCTCACTCCCTTTGGTTCTGCTCTCTTTAAACACATCTCGGCCCAGTATTACGTTGCCTATTGAACTCTTTCCAGCTTCACTTTTTCCGATCAGCACAATCCTCAGATTCTGTACAGCAAGGGCTTCATCCGACTCTGGGAATAAAACAGAAATAGTCATTAGAGGAAAGTTGTGGAGTAAAGTCTGGTAGTTGCAATATAATCTCCAGTAAATGGTTAAGGTATCATAGTGTATTAGATAAATGTCAATGTTTGGATCATGAAAAGTGTTACGTAATAAAACATAGCAGGTTACTGTTGAATAATAAGAGGAATTGGGGACAGTACAATCCATAATTTAGTGGAAACCTGCAAATCTATCTAAACAAATTTGAATGTTTCTTAACAATTATTATTATTATTTTCATTATTCCAAAATAGGTCAAACCCTAACCCTGCCCCTAAACTTACACTGTAAAAAGTGATCAGTTAACTTAACTTAAAATAGTGAGGAAACCCATTGCCTTAACATTATTCAGGAAAGAAACTTCATGCGTAATTGAAAAACATAAGTTATGTGAATTTGGGTAATTGAAAAAAAATCAGTTACGTGAACACATAACATAACTTTTTCAATGATGCATGAAGATTATTTACTTAATCTTAAGGCAACGGGTTTCCTCACTTAACTGATCACATTTTACAGTGATACCCATCACTGGGTTTTAAACAGAACATACTAAAATGTACTAGTGAGATCATACGAATTTGTATGAATTAACCACCAATTAAGCAAAACGTGAAATATAGTTATACGGATTGCTGTGAGATTTGTTTTGGAGAAAATGTACTTCTACAGGAAGTTGCTGCCTTTTCTTAAAGAGACAGTGTCTTAAAGACCAAGCACATGATCCACAAACATTACTAACTAAAGTACGAGATTAACACAGGGAAATGTACTATTATTGTATATTGAATATACCCTATATTTGATACATAATTGTTTTTTAATTGGAACAATAAATAAATCATTCACAATAATACCAGAAAAAAAAAATAGATAAAAGTTATACTAAGTAAATTGGCTCATGTAAACTTTAAAACTGAGGAAAAAATGTATGTCTCAAGTCAGAGATTTCCTTATAAGACTTCACTTCAACAATTCGACTCGATCACAATCACTTCAGGCTAAATCGACACATCTACAAACATATTGATTGTATCTGTATTGTATAGTATCATATTAGCTAAAAGATCATATACTTGATAACCTGACAGCACAAAGAATGTTAAATGTGAATGGTTTACTATTGTATTTACTAGGGTACTAGTTCAAATATACACACATCTTTGATACAACATGTTTGATATATAATTATAGATCATGTTTCATTGTTTATGTGAAGATACATACACAGAATATAGGTTATATCACACACCTTAACACTGAGAGTCATTGAGATCAACTACAGTCTAGTTAAACAGGTTTGTTGTGTATGTTTGCCTCTAAAAACAAAAAGATTATAGTAGTTGGTTAGAGTTGGTTAAAGTACAGTAATTGAAACGTACCAGTACGCGCTGGATTCATTTCTCTGTGTTTGGTCGATTCCTGTAGTTTCTCAGCTGTTCAATCTCAGTGTGAATCCAGTGACAGAATGAAGGTATTTGAGCTCAACTCTTGTGACCGTGAAACTCCCTCTATTGTCATGAACTAATGACAGTTATTGCCTAACGCTAGTGTGCGGTTAAAAGTCTTTCTGACACATGCTTTTATAAATGAAAACATATTTCATGGCAGTGTAATACAGTTTGATTTGCCTGGATTGGATTCAATTGAAATACATAATAGCTAGACTGATATTTTTGTTTAAAATTTGAGTGAGCACAGGACAACAAGAAAAATGAAAATTTCACATAACTGAAAATTTTCATAACTCTAGTAAAAGTTCACATCCCTGATCTCTAATATCATTCACTTCACAATCCATATTGAGCTGCAACACAAAACTGATGAATATATATCAGTTCAGTTTGTGTCTGTGCTCCACCTTTCAGCACTCGCTAAACCTGTTCAAACGCATCTGAAGTGTTATTTAGACATGAATAACACTTCAGAAGTTTTTGTTGTGTTTGTTGAACAGGTTTAATGGTATTGTGCGGTTTTAAAGCTGCGCTGCAACTGTTGAGCTCCAACTGAACAAACCAATGAACAGAGAGCGAGAATCACTGAAGAGACGCTGAAGGAATTGGAAAACTATGATAAATGAATAAATAAAAATAATAACAATGAATGCATAAAAATTGTTAAAGCATTTAAAAGTGATATTTACTAAGATCCTTCTATTATCTATTGAAACCCACAATAATATTCAAAATATATTAAAAAGCTTAATATATATAAATCATCATTCATTGGGTACTTTCATGGGTACTGGAAGGTGGCTGCCCCGAACTTGTGAAAATTAAATCGGAAATAATTTTTGCATTGTTGTTTTAAAAAAATATTTTTTGGATTTTTAAAAACACTTCATGTAAAGAATGTGTCTCACATTTACATCAGTCACTGAAAGAATGTGTTTTTAAGTATGTTTTAGCTAGACTGATTTTAACCACACTCCTACATTAAATGTGCATTCATGCCCGAAACATGGGATGTTTTATCAAAAATAAAGTATATTGAATTATCAACTTAGATTTTATTATAGTGTTTGGTTCAATGTTAGCCTGGATGCCAGCCCGAACCCCGCCCACAACATTTTTTGATCGGGAAGTTCGGTCTGGACTCGCTCCATTGTGGAGTAATTATGATCGGTTCAGAAATCGGCCAATCAAATTGCCAGGGCGGGCTTTATACGATGATGGACAGATGATCTGCAGGGACGTAATCATCACGTTATCAAAGAGCGCTTGGGTTGAACTGGTTTCCCTCAGAGATGACTGCCGCTGGAGAACTGAGATGTAGAGATTCCGCTATCGCGTCTGTTGTAAAAGAAATCGACAGCGCATTCATTTTAAAAGACGAACAGAGAACTGCAATCAAAGCATTTGTCGATCGGAAAGATGTGTTTGCAGTCCTTCCTATGGTATTCGGCAAAAGTTTAATTTATCAGCTGGCTCCGATGGTAACTAAGAAGATGGGACGCAATGAAAACCCTGTGGTCGTTGTGGTTTCTCCTTTGGTCGCACTCATAGAGGACCAAGTAAAAGAAGCAACACTCGTTATTTTACTTCTTCCAGCGTGCGTGCATTTGAGTTCTGTAGTTGACAACTGTGCTATGCAAAGTAGTTGACTTACTGCGTTGCTCTCATTGGTTGTAGGTCTATCCAATTGAGTGCAGAGTTTTTTTTTTTTTTCTGGTTCGGTTAAGACACGCCTCATAATCAAAGCCCTATGAAGCAGTATCAGACTCACATTCTGACTAGAATATGAGTATGACGAAGTCAGGCTAGTTCAATGTATATTCAAACTAATAAATCCTTAAAGGGGTCATATAATGCCATTTTTGTACAAGCTAGTATGATTCTTTTGGGTCTAAATTAAAAGTTTGTAATATACTTTAATTACAAATTCTCATTAGTATTGTAAGAAAACACTTATTTTACCTGGTCAAAAACAGCTCTGTTTTCAGCACGCCGTTTCAGTGCATATGCCTTTAAATGATAATGAGCTTTGCTCACCCCGCCCCTCTGTTCTGTGCGTACACCGTTTGTAACACAATAACACAATAACCATAACGTGTTGTTCAGTATAAACGTGGGATTATGAATTATATTGAGAACATCATACATAGAAAACATGCCGTAATGTACCCTAAGTGTAAACCTTAGACGCATTCATTGTGAAGCGTGCAGCTAGCGATTTGCAAAGATTAATATAAATATTAATATAAAGTTTAATAAAACGTTACACTCACTTCAGTTCTTCTGGAGGTTCAGCAGGAACACGAATAGCTGGTACCGATCCTTTTATTCAAGAGCTGCTTCTTAGCAAAACCAGCTTTATACTGACCCTCGTTTATAAAGCAGTCTGGTGAGAAATGATTCGCGCAAACATGAGAGCATTGACGTTGCTCGTGGGGAATATTCCCTTCGAAAACAAACTCAGCCACTGCGTCTTCAGCGGTTCGGATTTAGGAACATTAAAATGACTGCTGTGTTCGTTATTACACCCAAGAACAGAACACCACAATCGCTTAGACGCCATTCTATGAAGGTAAATCAGTAGCTAAACTCGAGAGCACGTAGATGTGAATTTGAGAACTTGTACAATAAATATTCGTACTTGTATGTGAACATTTACACTCACAGCTCCGATGTGAAAACCTGTAAAATAAAAATCTGAAGTTGAATGTTGAGATTTGCACTCGCAGACTATAGTCACAAACCTGTATTCTGAATCTGAAGCTGCAGACAAGCAGTCACAAATGTGTAAAATGCCATTCACAGAAATACAATGACAGTCACAAACATGTAAAATATATTTGCGCTTCTTCTAACATTCAAATTCGCAGTACAACCTCAAATTGGCACTTGCAACTTCTCAAATCTGTCACTGCAAGTTCAAATTTCGCGCCTTGACTTTTGCTACTCTTTTCGCGATATATGAGGTGCAAAACTGATTTGTGCACTTGTAACACAGAGGCGGTGAGAGCGGAAGGGGGGTGGGAGCAGGGACGTTCGAAGGAGCCGTTTTATTGGTTGGCGCCTAGCCAATGAAATGGGACTTCTATTGTACGCGATGATGTCACGAAACCCGCCTCCTAGTGGATGTTCTGAAACGCTAACATGGCTTAATGCATTAGACTAATTTATAAGACATAAATGATATTATCAAACTTAGTGATATTAACACCATACTAATCAGAGGTGGGTAATCCAGGGGCCAAAGAGTAAAAGTCCTGCCATAAGTTTATTCCACCCATGAACTCAGTCAGCTGATTTCACTAATTAGTTCTGTCTCCTGCCTGAATTAGCAAATACAGGTGATTGGAACAAAATACTGAGGAGGACTTTTACTTTCTGAACCTGGACTTTATACCTCTGCCCACATGTCAGCCAAGAGCAAAGAGTCTTAGATGAAATCCACTGAAGATAAAAGAAGACATTAAATCTGTGAGGATCTCAGCAGAGGAGTATTAAACAACTCCACAAACAGCATTACCAGCTTCACTTATTACTAACCAGACTCACTTTATTTCTGTCAGAATTCTACAGAAGATTTATTGAGAATTAACAGAGGTTTAACTGTTTAATTTGAAGTCACCATAACAGTGATTAGTGTTTCCCTTAGTTGGGCTCTCAACTCTTAATATATATTTAGTCTTTTTGGCTCCTGTGATAGTATGTGTGTCAAACACATTTGCAGGAGCAAAGAAAGCTAAAGTGAAATGAGATCAGGTGATGATGGTTTCCTGTTGATGGATTTATACTCATCATGAAATAGACTGATTCATTGAGGTTTTGATAATCCAACAGTTATATTGTTCCATTAATATATTCACATCTGCAGCATGAGAATCTTTTCATCTTCGTCAAATAAGTCTTTTAACAGACATGAAAAAAAAAACTGGCCTACATTGACATACACATAGGGCTGGGCGATATATCGCACGATATTGTTATGCGCATCTCGTCAGTAAAGCCGGTTCCTTGATTAGTAGTAAATCGCCTTCACCTGCTTTCAGATGGAGCGGCATTTACTACAAAGAGCCGTAGTTAACTGACAAGCTGAGCCATATCGCACTAATATCGCGGACGTATCGCCAGCGATAATTGATGCGATATGGCTCAGCTTGTCAGTTAACTACGGCTCTTTGTACACAGCAAAAACTCAGTGTTAAATGAACACACCTGGGAGTGTATATGAGTCCACACTCAAGAGTGTTAAAGTTAATAAGATAATTAAGGTATTAATTGAGTGATGATTGAGCACCTAAAGGAGAAAATCTAAAATTGTAAGCCACCATTATGGAGATGAGTGTTTGCTTTAGTTGGGCTCTTGACCCTTAGATTAATAACTTTAGATTTTGGTTGGCTGTTGTATCTGAGTTATAACTGCCAGATGAACAAAGAAATAAAGTGATCTTATGATGTTGGTTATATTATGACAATCACTATTTGATCTTTATGTTTGTGATTTATGCTGTTGGTTACAGCATAACTGTGATTCTGCACAAATATCCAGAATTTCAGATATAATATAAAGGTTTTCTTAAAAGTTGTTTTAAAAAAAAATCTTTCTTTTAGGCACACACAGACGTCAAGATTCAGTCAATGCATCTCAACAATGGTGACGAGCAGAATATTCAATTAGGAAAAGTAAATTACATAGACAATTCAGATCATAATTTATGCATACCGCAATGCATGATGGGAGCCATTAATGAGTTGTGATTGGTGGCAGCCACTGCAACATGCATTATTATTGTCACCATTGTTGAGATTCACAGGCTGATTATTGATGTCTGTGTTTCTAAATTCATTTAAAAGGGTTTTGATCAGAACAATGTTTATGAAATATTTTGTATTATAAGAAAAATACTAATAATCATATGCTGTACAATCACAAATCTGTTGCTAATGAATTAA